GGTCACCGTGTCCCTGAATTTTGGGATTTTATTTTGTAAATATAAAAAAAATATTTTTAACAACAAATATTATTATAGTGAAATGTCAATGACATTTTAAAAATTATGAGAATAATAATGTTTATTTTAATTGAAAATGAAGAAACTATTATAAATAATATTATTTATGAAAATTTTATAAAAATTTTTGAATGTAACTTTGATGTCATTATTATTAACATGCAAGTATAAGTAATCTCACTATAAAAATATGAAATTTATTAGATTGTTAGTTATATTTGACATATGAGGTTCATTCTCTATATGTTTATTTACTATTAGTTGGTGATATCATATACTAATGATACCATTATATTGAATTTTTAATCAAATTTTATATAAAAAAATAATTTACCATTACATAATTTATTTTAAGACTTATATCTATATTTTTCTATATTGTCCATAAGATACTAATTATAAATAATATTAATTTTTTTGATGTTTCTCGAAATCAATTGTAAAAACTTGCGTGAGTAAAAAAATTTGATATTGTAATTAATAATTGCTTCCTCTAATTTAATTTTCTAGTTCTGCCACTGTCTCAGACCATACCTTATCTACAAAAAGTACCAGAAAAAAATTAATAACATTATGGGTTGGTTTGGAAAGTGGGTTGGCTTTTTTACTTTTTTGGCTATTTTAGCCTAAGCTAAAAAGCTTGATTTGGGAATGACTTTTTGGCTTTTTTGACTTTTTTTGTGAGAGAAGAGTGTAATGATTATGAGTTAGATGTGATATTTTGTTTGTTGTAACTAAAATAGCCTATTTTACCTTTTATGACTAAAATAGCCAAAAAAATCCACAAAACCACTCCCCAAATGATATACAAATTAGTAGGTATTGACTGCTACAATGCTCGCATGAAAATCTTTTGTCACTTGTGTCAGCATGAAGAAAAGAAATGGATTATTTGATCAGATAACTTCAATTATTTTAGCCATACAAATATTTTTTGTTGATTGAATACTTGAACACTAAATATATATATAAGATAATAAAAAATAAAAAAAAATTGACAAGTGGACAAGACTGATGCTAAAATGGATAAACTAGTATCTAGGAGGAGGTATATCAGCGGCAAACTTTACCGTAATTTTTCAGATGACATTTCTGTGATATAACATATATATTTATATGCTCAAGTGATGATGAAAGGTTTATATATGTTTTTTCAATGTTGAAAAACAACACCACCCCAGGGCAATGTGGTAAAATACGAATGTATTTTAACTATTGTGCATTTTATTTGGTCAATTGAAATGAGATGAGATAGAATAAAATAAAATGGTTATTCTTTAAGTTTATTTATCAAATGATATTTTTTTATAATGATAAATGACAATTTTATTTATAATATATAGATTTACCTTTTTAATTAATCAAACATAAAAATAGTTACACAATCCATTTTCATTTTCCAAGTTAACCTTCCAACATAAGTTACCTAGACGTGTAATATTTTTTATGCAATTGTACGAGTGGACTTCACCTCCATCAAATGTTTTGAGAGTTAGGTTAAAAATTAATTTTTTGATTTTTTAAAATTTTTTTTGAAAAATGTGTAAAAAAAAAAATAGAGAGATGACGTGACTAAAAAAAATGTTAAAAGCTAAAAAGTTAACTTTTAACCTCTTCTCCAAATAGGCCTCCGCATAGTGTGAATACAAATCAACTTGTTTGGTTTTAGTTTAAGAAAATACTTTTTAAAAAATTCTATTTTTTTATTTTTCATATTTTTTTGTTTTCAATGAATTTTTTAAATATTTTAAGTAATTTTTTTAAAAAATTTTAGATACACGTAACATGAATCAACTTAAAAAGTATAATATTTGTGGGAAAAAAAAAACTTTAAAAAATTCACTAAATAGAATAGAAAAAAAAAATTCAATACATTTTTCGTATTTTTGTGTATTTATTAATTTTTTCACAACTATTTTACTATTTAGATATATTTAAGTAAGGTGCATGCAAAAAGTAAAAAAATGCTTAAAATTTTAAAAATATCACTAAAAACAAAAAAAATAGAAAAATAGAAAACTCAATTTCCAAAAAACTGAAACCAAATACACTGAATATTCTTTTTTTTTTGTCAGTAAAAATAATTACAAATATTATTTAATATATAAGAAAATTTGATGATTCCATCAGGATGTGGTCCCATCATTTTACAGTTTTTCTAGTGAAAATATTATATCTAATTTTATGATTTGATGTAATACCTTATTTTTATTTTTTATTTTTCAGATAAATGGTGGAGTTGCCAAGGTGCTATTAGTCTGGTCTCTCGACCCCAAAGTTGGACATGTACAAACTACCATCGTTATCATCAACCTCAACGCCTCCAAACATCCTAATCATCCCTATAACAATACTTACTAAAAAAATTAAGTGAAAATTGTTTTATTTAGATAACCATAAGATTAGGTTCGAATGATGTAGTTGGTAATTTGTTTATTCTTTTGTTGCGGTTCTATCTCCTCCTTATTTTGTATCACTAATTAAATAAAATTGTTTGAAAACCACTGCAAAGTGAAATTGTTTGGTTGTCCAAAATATATGACTTGGTCTGTTTTAAAACTAGTTTATCTATAAATAATTAGGAAAATGTTACGGTATGCACGTTCCTAGAGGGGTGCATATGTGTAATTTTAATATAAAATTTCATAACATTAATTATAAATGCGTAATCTCGTTACAGATTAATGTAACAACAAATATTGTAATCAAGCCACAAATTTTTGCAATATCAACTACAAAATTTTGAATATTTTATTATGTCAATTTGTGATGAAATTATGTATTTATAAGTTAAAAAAATAAAAATAAAAATAAAAATAAAAATAAAAGGGACTTGGCTAAAATAATTGCACTTGCCATCAAATCTTTTAGTGCAAGTTTTGGTCTAACTTATTAAAAAATAACACTTGCACCAAAATACATTTGCATAAAAAAGATTCTCATAAAATTGTAATTACTTTCTCATTCTACCATTAATTTGCAATTCAATACTATTATTTGCACATAAAACTATCACAAAATCAAGCACAACACTCCCTATGGTGGTGTTTGGCAAGTGGTTTTGGGGTTAAAATAGCCACAAAAAATAACATAGGCTATTTTAGTCACAACAAACAAAACATCACGTTCAACTCATAATCATTATACTCTTCTCTCACAAAAAAAGTCAAAAAAGTCAAAAAGTCAAAAAGCCCTTTCCAAACTAAGTTTTTTAACCCAAGCTAAAATAGCTAAAAAAGTCAAAAAGTCGATCCACTTTCCAAATGGAGGCTAACTATAGTTGTGTACTCTGTGATTGATTACAACTTTTTTTCGTCTTTTTTGGTTCCTAGATCTTTGTTTAATTTAATTAAAATGAAAAATTCATGACAATCAAAAAAAGGATGGCTAAGCCCAGGTAGCAATCAAAAAGGTTAGCCCAAATCAGATGGTGCTTTCATAGTAGGAAATCAAGCCCAAATCAGATGGTGCTTTCATAGTAGGAAATCAGGGCCGACAATCTAAATTGGACTGGGCTTTGGAGGCCCTATGTTATCACCACACTGAAGATTCTTATATTTTTATTTTGAGAAAATTCCAAATAAATTGTAAGAACAAAAAAATAATAATAATAAAAATTACAAAGTCATAAATTTTTTTATAATTTTAATTATTAAAGTTGATAAGCTTTATCGTTGATTTGAAATTTATTTTGAAAACATACAGTGAATTATAATTATCCTTTTTTATTTTTAACTTCTCACACCACCATCATTTTAGTGAAAAAATTAAGTGAAACAGCTATGCCATATGAATAAAAGTAAAACCTCACACCACCATCATTTTAGTGAAAAAATTAAGTGAAACAGCTATGCCATATGAATAAAAGTAAAACTCTTATATTTAATTAATATTTTCAGTAAGATTCATTTGTTTTGCGAGATTTCAAATAATAGAATTTCTTCAAAAATTAAAAACAAATTTTTTTCATTCTATCCCATCCAGTTGGTCCCTCCGTTTTGGAAAATTTTATTAAAAAATATATATGAATGTAATAATTAAAATTTAAAACAAATTTCACTTTATTCCTATTTGGCTCATATGCCAATTATTCCCTCATATTTGAAATAATCACATAATCCCTTGTGGTTTATATATTGAAATGCATCGTTAGACCAATTAACGATTTAATAAAAGAAATTAAACTAGTCCCATGTATAAGTAACCTAAGGTCATGTTTGTTTGGGTGGACATGAGCTTGGGATTGTACTAATAGTCCAATAAAATTACTAATCTAATGTTTGATTAAACAATTGAAGTACGGACTAACTATTTTAAACTTGACTATTAGTTAAGATAGGATACATAATCCAATGGATTTGTACCCCTAGGACTATTAGTCATGGGAATGCTAATCCAGTCCGCCCAAACAAACATGGCCTAAGTGTGTAAATTATGAATATTTTCGTAATTTATTTAGAAGATACGTTGCACTTTAAACCATGTGCTTTATTTTCATGTGCAATTTATTTTCTTTAAATTTTTTTATATGCAATTTATCTTTTTAAAATTAAAAAATGAACATATAACCTCTTATAACTAATACATATTTCATATTTACTGTTAAATTAAACTGAATATTTAAGAGAATTTTATAATTATTTCCAAATATAATAGGGTTATTGGCATACAAGACAAGTGAAATTTGTCCTAAAATTTATAAACCTGAAGGGAAAAAAATTCAGCCTTTTATTTTTTCAATTTTCAGGCGAAAAACTCCAGCCACTCATAACTCCACGTGGCAGTGCGTCAGTCTAACACGTGCCGTTGTGCTGATTGCGCTTCTTTCCGGCCACAAATAAAACGCGATTGCCACACACACGCAAGCAAAGCGAGCGTGTGTTGGAGTGTAGTGTGTAGTGTTGTAGCTATTGGAGGCCTCTCTTCATTGCCGGTACGTTCTTCACATTCTCTCTCCAATTTCCTCTGATACTCCCTCAATTATTGTTGGTTTGACGATGATCTTGATGTTTTTGCTTTCATCACATCTTTCCTCTAATGTGTTTGATTAAATGCGTATATGAAAATGTATAAAAAATTGAGCCTTTTGTTACTTTTAAGACCATACCCATCTAGGGTTTGTTGTTGATTCGCGCATTAGATTGAAAATTCAGCACACCCTTCAATGTGATTAATCTCTATGTAAGTATTGATTTCCCTTGGGATTAATCTATTTTCTTATCCCTATTTCTCTATGCAAAGTGTGGGCTCCAATTTTTAGTTCAATTGGTTTTTATGCATTGTTTTTTAGACAAATTATATAAGGTATCTGTTTGCATTCGGAGAACCACCCACATGCTTGCTGGGGACATTTTTCATTCAGTGTAATTAGTTCGAAGGGTGGTTTTGATTCCTCTTCTTACTTGTAACATATGTAAACTCATATAAACTACCCTTAAAACTACAAAAAGTAGCTAATGTTCATTATCAGTTTATTGATTAAAATTATCAAAGATTATGCAGCTTTTGAAAACAAAATCATCAGTCATAGTATCATTATTTGTATTATCCATCAAAATGTAAATTTTTGGCTTCTCAATGTGTAATCATCAATAAAAATAAGATTCAAAGTTCTTGCAGGGAGAAGTGTGGCTTGTGATTCTAATGTGTTTCTTGTTTGGCAGTAGGAATTCTTTGCATGGAGTGTCATTTGATGGGTACTACACGGTAAATCTTATTTTCAACTTTCAAGGCAACGATTTTTACCTTACAACTTAACTTTATTTACTTTGGCAGGCCATTTGTTTGTTTTCATGTATTTGATAACAGTTGCCTTATATTTTATTTATGTCATCTACCCTTAATTTGTTACTATTCGAATCTGTTTTATGCCAATAATATGTTTTTTGAAATTCAAAAGGTGAAAGTACTGTTGGTTAACACTGGATTCAATCATAGTACTAGCATCTTAACATCTTCAATTTTTTAATAATATTTGCTTGATATTGCTGTTGGTTTCAACTTATAGCTTTGCTTAAGCACTTCCCGTTATTATGCTCACTTCCTCTGTGTGATCTTGGCAGTTGTTGTCTTCACAACCGCATACAATGGTTTCCATGGCAATTGAGAACGTTAAATTTGGAGAAGGTTAACAGATTTCACTATGATGTGGCTGAATGTAGATCAAGGACAAGAACCCAAAGGTTCATCTATCCAAATTTAGCTTCTACTGGGAAAAATTATATGCATCATATTTCTTGGAGAACAATTTCCATGCCTGTTAGTCTGGATCAGGAATCTTCATCACCACAGTTAGAAGACTACTCTAGTGATGATGAGGATGCTCCCAAGACTTCTCCTCTTGAAAAACCATTGAGTAGTGATGAGGTAAGCTTAAGGTTCCCCAACTATTTGACACTGTTCTGTATTTTATTTGAAAGAAACAGAAAGTAGTTTTCCCTATTCTTATTAAATATATTATGAATGTTGGGTTTTTGTTGTCTAGTGTACATGCACTTTAACAAGGTTGTGCATCTTGTACATTGAAATACTCACAACTTTTATATTTCAAATTCAGATACTCAATAAAATGCTTAACATGGTTCCAGAGTCCTGAGAATGTTGACAAACATTGACCACTGGCTGGTTGCTGGAACCAATCAAGTGGATTCACTCATCCATGTAGATCTTGGACTGTGGTATAATATATGATCCGATATTTTGATTCTGAGCATCTGAATAATGAGAAAGCGCAGTTTGTGATGGATCTGTGGTCTAATATTAATATAACTATTTTAATCATTCAATGTCTCAAGAGCGTAACTCTTCATTGTGAGGACTGATCTATTTGGTGAATGATACATAGGTTGGGTTATAGATTTGGAGAGCTGTTGCCTGTTGGTAGAGATGAATATATACGTTCATTTGCAAAGTTTTCATACCTGTTAAGCTCGGGTTATTTCAAAATTCAAAGACCCCATGACCTCAATTTTAACTTCAACTAGAAGTACTGTCGTACATTTTTTACACACTGAAATGTATATATTTGAATAAATCCATTGTCCTTTTTTCAGTTGCCTTGGATCTTCTTCACTACTGTTTTCTATTTTTGTGCTGTCTGTCACATTCCTCTTAATAGTCAATACTTTTTGCTTCAAACACAGAGTTTGAATCCTGCTATGTGGTAGTAGTGTAGTTTGTCTCCATAAACTGCTGTTATCTAGATGAAATGAACCGAACAAAATAAAGTAATTTTGCACGTTGTTTCTGCTTTCTGTAAGAGTAAAAAAAGACTGTTTTGTGCAGACATTTGCATTCTCTCTATTCTTAATTAACTGCAGTTTCGTAGTCTTAGTGAAGTAATGTTGTCCTTTATTGTACATTGAAACAACTTGTTTTTTATCAGTTGTTAAATTATACTTGATTTTTTTTTCAGTACTGAATGTTCAATGTGGGCTGGCAGATGGCCTTACTCAATTCTTCAGAGCTAATAGTTAATATCTTTAACAGTTGAAGGCTTTGATTGCTGATTCCGAAAGAGAAAAACTTATCAAGAAACTAAGTGAAGCCAATCAACAAAATCGGTTCCTCAAACGACAGGTTAGTGTATATTCTTTCCTAATTACATAGTATGTAATCAACTATGAAGCACAGGTGAGGGTGCAATATGGGTACGCCACTACGTCAAATTCTTTAAAAAGTAAGGTATGGGTACGGCTGGGTTATGTCAATTTTTTTTTTTTTTAAATTTATAGCTAAACATCCAACATACAAATTAAAGTTACACTATCAAAGCTAAAAAGAGAACAACTTGTCTAAAATGCTATAGTATGTATTAGGCGTACCCGGTACACGTGCTGCTGTATCGGTAGGTACTCGTACGGCACCATTTTTAGAGTACCCATGCTTCATAGGTAATTAACAAATCTATGCTTAAAATTGATGCAAACTTTTGTTCGTAATTATATTTATATTTATATTGTATTGCTGACAAATATATATTTGAAAGTTTTGGGCTGTGAATGATGGGACTTTTAATTGCACACCATGTATTGGAATACCCTAATTGATTGAGCATTCTATCATTACCTGGATGACATCACGCAATTTATCTTGCATGGAATTTTTATGAAGAATCGTGTACGTGTAAAGTTTGCTTTGATTTCTGTTTTCTGAAGGAGCAATCTGATTTGGCAAAATTAAAAGTACAGATTGTACTGCATAGTTTGTTTGATTTTCTAGAAAACTTTTCTGATTGACATCCTTTATTTCTTTGTTATCCATAGTTGCACGAAAAGGAGGGTGCATTGGTTAATTTCAAAAGTGAACTTGCTGTTATGGAACAGGAGATTCAGGTCTGTATCTTTTGCCAAGCTCTTCTCTCTTGTTCAATAAACAATACAGGGAGTCACTTTTTCTGATTGTTTTCTTCAAGACGGTCTGCTGAGAAGTTTCAATTTGATATGATCCCTTGCATGAGTATTATTTTAGTAATATATAACAAAGTTCAAATTCCTTGTGACTAGTTTCATTGTTCATCCAATAAAATCATCATATGCAGTTTATAGTTTGGGTTTTTCAGACTAATCAATCAGTTTCCCATAACAACTAGAAAGCACCACAAAAGCATCCTCTTAGGTGGTGTTTGTTTTGAGGGATTGAGCCATGGGATTAGACTAATAGTCCATCCGGATTAATAGTCCGTTGCTTGGTTCAATATTTTTGCACCGGCCTATTAGTCCCAAATTTGTTGGACTATTGTATCCCATGGGAAGGGGGATGGGACACAAATGGGGGGATAAGGGAATATGAGATTAGGTGGTGAAATGACTATTTTGACCCTTTACTATTTAATTATTTATTATATTTAGTAAAATTCAATAAAATTTAAATGTCTCAATCTAAAAATAAAATAATTTTATTTAATTTTTATTGATGTTTTATTTATTTAATTTTTTATAGATATTTTATTGATGTTTTATTTTAAAGTTTTGTTTATATTTTATTTAATTTCATTATTTAAATTTTAATAGATGTTTTATTTAATTTCATTGTTTAATTATTATTATTTTTTAAAATAAATTTATTTAAAATTTTAATTAAAAAAATAACGGATATTTTTATTAATATTTTATTTATTTATTTTTTTAAAAATAAATTTATTTAATTTAGCTAAAAATAATTAAAATATTAAAGATATGTTTAATATTGCTATTACTTAATAAATAATTGAAAAAGGTGAAATAGTCATTTGAGCATTTATTCTTCTCCATAATATCCCAAATAAACATAGGATTTATATCTTATCCAACCAAATAATCCTTTCTTGACATTTAATTCCATGACTAAACAAACATGGGATACAAATCCAATCTAACCAAATAGTCCAGGAACAATGTATCTCAAAACTAACAGTCTGGTGGATTTCAATCCCCCCTATCCAGTCCGTCCAAACAAACACACCTTTAGTGATTAGGCAACTTTACAAAAAGTTGGTTTCAACTTGTTTCTTAATTTGAAAGACTAAGTGATGTAGGACCACTTTAGAAACTTGGGTTAGTGTTGCCTTCAAAAGGGAATTGTGGTGGGTTTTGGTTAAGAAAAGCTTCTAGGGTTAGGATTTTACGAGTAGAAAGTTTCTAGGGTTTATAGATGTAAAAGGTTAGTTTGGCCTTGATTTTCAAAATTTGTGGTTTGCAGAATTATTTGAGAACTTGGGCTTTTAAAGGTCTAGACAGCAACAAAACCGTGGATATTTGGGTTTAAATCAAAAGTCAAAGATAGGGGAAGAGATCAGGGTTTATTAGATCTTATGCATGGGTTTGGAATATGTGAAGAGTTATAGTAAGCGAAAAGTTGAAGCTTCTGTTTTCTGTCCTAAGAAAGCAGACTATGCTATATATTTGGGAGGGGTAGAAACTAAAGCAATTTAAAACCCTGGAAACTTTACAGTTAATTTAGTGTAGTCACTATCATGAACAATATATAGGAATAATATCATTTAACCTTTTACAAAAAAAAAAAAATTGGTGTCTGACCTTCTAGTTTTTATTTCACTTGTTTACCTTACAAATTTAATTACTTTCATGGGCAGGCTTTGGTTGCAATGGCAGATGAAATTGCAAAATATGGCATTCCAGAACGTTCAAGAAAGATTAATGGGAAATACATTCAGTCTCACCTTCTGTCTCGGTTAGAAGGTACAATTATTTTGCCCGATTTCTTTGGATTACTCTCTTCCATATGGTCAACTTGAGGTCCAAGGCCTTCTTTCTAGGCTGAGAGGAACAATTAAAGTAATTTGCAGGATCTTTAAAGTCACATAGCAATCTCATTTCCCTTCCTTCTGGTGGATAGAATATGGTCTTGTATTTCCTTCAGAATTGTGTGCACAATACATGAAGCATCAAGGGTCTTATTAGGTTCCTATCCTGAGCCAAAGTACTATGTCTTTAATATAAGACAGAAATTTCATAGAAAAATTTGAGGAAAGTTTGGTGGTCGTGAAATTGTTAGATGATAAGGCTGTTCTGTTTCTTATTACTATGTGTTTGCTTCTGTGAAGCTGTGCATGAAAAAGTGAAGGAACAGATAAAGGATGTGGATGCCGCAGAATCCAAGGAGGTGTCCTTGTTCTGGTGTGGCATGGCTGAGGTAAGCTAATGAGGAGAAACATTTATATGCCCTTCTTCATTTGCGTCAGTTTTCTCTTATACTTGTGTAGATTACCGTTTGGCATTTTAATGATTATGTCCTTCGCAATGAGATTACTGCAATACAATGGTCACCAATGAAACAAATTGTTGATATTCAGGGAGCATCTCCAAGAGCTTGTCAAAGTCCAGTATCCTGAAGTTCAACTTGAAACTCGGTTAAGATCTTGTTAATCGACCTATTTTTAGTTGGTTTGATCTAAAACTAAACAATGCATAACTAGATTGATTTACCAATAAATCTTGTCAGTCAATTTTCATGAAAATGACTGACATCAAAATATAAATAAATAAATAAAATAAAAAAAGTCACCTTTTCACCTGCTTTGCTTGTTCTCTTGGTATTCCACTTTATGTCTATTTGACAGAATAATTTATTTTCTTTGTGATATGAATGATTTAACTTTTTCCTTGAAATGGTTTACATTTTTGTATGCTTTTTATTTTTTTCTTCTTTTTTTATTTATTTATTTTTGTTGTAAATTTCATACTAGCTCAGTTGGCGTTTGTTTGCTCTTTGAAACTCATTTTTGAACATGTTTCTGGAATTATGTGAATGGCAAGGTACAAATAGTTGTTTTGCGGTTGCATTGACATGGAAAAAAGGAGATTAGCCTGATTCTCATATAAATTTTACTGAAATAACTGCAATGTCTCTGCCATAAAGAATTCATTAGGATCGTATTTTCCAGTTGATGTCCAAATATCCTTGAGGCATACCTTAAGATCCTTTCTTTCTTTCTTTTTTCCTTTCAATTTTTTATATCCTCTTATATTTTTTTCATGTATTTTTGTATAAGAGCGTACAAGTAATGGGCACCTTTGATGGCTGGAGTCAAGGAGAAGACCTTTCACCGGAGTACAATGGTTATTTCACGAAGTTTTCCACGACATTGTTGCTCAGACCTGGAAGGTATGAAATCAAATTTCGCTCAAATTTCCGTTCTTTTTTTTGCTTCTCCTTTAACCAGCAATTTTTCGTTGTGAAGATATGAAATCAAATTCTTGGTGGATGGAGAGTGGCAGCTATCTCCAGAATTCCCCATAGTGGGAGAGGGACTAATGAAAAACAACTTGCTGATTGTGGAATAGCTCAATATTTGCTGATCTAATAATGTGTGAAGTTAAGAGAAATTGCCTAAAATATAGCAGTGAAGTTGCTGATCTAATAATGTTTCTTCAGGCTTATCTAATGTTGTAGCTGATGTAGCAGTGAAGTAACTCTCAGTTTGAAGGTCAGTCTGTCAAAACTATAGAAATTAGTTTCTAATGTGTGCTGGATAAGATTTAATGTAGTTAAAGAAGTTGACAGCCAGCCAAGTGAGATTGGGCGGAATTAAAAAAAGGTTATGTATTAAAATTAATTACAACTTGGACAAATTAACCTGATCAACTTGATTATTTTACTGAACTCTCTTTTTAATGATCATGGTGGACTATCAAGGACCTACTAAGTAGGGATCTAAGAAAAATTAAAAAAATTGACCAAATCAATTGAATCAAGCTGAATCAGTTATATGTGGTTGGTTTTTTAACGAGAATTGGTTTGTTCGGTTTTTTAATTTGATTTTTTTCAATTTTTAATTCGGTATCGGTATGAGTACCCTATGCACTAAATTAAATCGAAATCAATCGCTTCAACATATATTATATTTATAATATATATATATATATATATAATATAATAATATAATGATATTAATAAGTATAATAAATTATTAATATCAATTAGGATACCCTTATTATACATAATTTTTAATTCTAACTCACTATTTTTGAATTCTTAATATTTATTATTATTTTTTTGTTTGTATTCTTGTTAATATAGAAATTGTAAAGTAATTATTAAATTGAAGAATTTGATATGTTTAAAATAGTTGACAAATGGTTAATTTAATATTTTTATATACCTGAGTAATTATACTTCAAAATATTTTAACTTTGAAAGATGCTAAACCAATTAAATCTTATCAAATCGAATTGTTTCAATTGATGCAGTTTAATAGAAGAAACGGTATGTATCGATATTTAAAATAATAAAATTAATATTATTGATTTAATAAAAAAATTTACCTAAATATCGACCGGACGGAATTGATTACATCTCTATTACTAAGGACACCAAATGTTGAGGTTGCTTTAAATTTTTACAAACCCATCACCAAATGTTTCTAACCTTAATAAACAAATGAGTAATACCCAATTTCGGCTTGTGTAATAAATAAGTGGATTCAAACTAGCAAAATGATCCCGACGCCTAGACCCAGGGATGTCGTGAGGACATCTCCGAGCAATTTTTTTTTTTTTTGATAAAAATAAAAAAAATAAAAAATAACTCGCAAAATGACAGCCAGATATGGACAGGTCGGTTTGATATTGTCAACTTCAATTTTTTTTTTTTTTTAAATTATCATTCCAGGTCTAAATTTTTTTTCTCAGAAAAGGGGGTGGGAGGTGTGAGGTCGGTTTGATATTGTCAACTTCAATTTTTTTTTTTTTTTAAATTATCATTCCAGGTCTAAATTTTTTTTCTCAGAAAAGGGGGTGGGAGGTGTGAGGTCGGTTTGATATTGTCAACTTCAATTTTTTTTTTTTTTTAAATTATCATTCCAGGTCTAAATTTTTTTTCTCAGAAAAGGGGGTGGGAGGTGTGAGGTCGGTTTGATATTGTCAACTTCAATTTTTTTTTTTTTTTAAATTATCATTCCAGGTCTAAATTTTTTTTCTCAGAAAAGGGGGTGGGAGGTGTGAGGTCGGTTTGATATTGTCAACTTCAATTTTTTTTTTTTTTTAAATTATCATTCCAGGTCTAAATTTTTTTTCTCAGAAAAGGGGGTGGGAGGTGTGAGGTCGGTTTGATATTGTCAACTTCAATTTTTTTTTTTTTTTAAATTATCATTCCAGGTCTAAATTTTTTTTCTCAGAAAAGGGGGTGGGAGGTGTGAGGTCGAACTTGGGGAAGGGATGTCTCATAGTGCCTTCATCAGTTACTAGCTGCTGCTGTTTGTTTGTTTGCTTGCTTTTTTATTTTATTTTATTTATTTGTTCGTTGGTGATGGGTTTAAATCCCCATCAAAGTTGGTTAGTCTTAGGCCTAGGCCTAGGCTCACGGATACCATGATAACATTTCAAAGCATTCTTTTTTTACTTGATAAAAATAAAAATAAAAAAGAGTTGGTGCCTATGATAAATGGATGATCAATTTGGTGTAGGATTAGGTCAACTACCAAATCTAAAGGGTGTGTAGTCATTGTAGTTGAAAGTCAACTAATGAAAGAACAACATTGGGGGAAGGCAGAATTTGAAATTTCCTTTTCCATGAGGGCACGTAAAATAGTTCCAAATATAAGCATGCCCATAAATTCCAACTAAACAAGAAACTTAAATCATTGGCCCATACAAAAACAACTAAATCATGAGGCACAATTATTTATTGTTCATTTGTATAATGAAATTTTTATTGATAAATTTCATTTAGAAGTGTTTTAACCTAAGAAATTCATAAAGGAATTTTTTAACCCATTTAGTCCCATGTATGTATAGTTTTATTCCATAAAGTCATTTTTCTTGATTTACATTATTTTCTTGGACACTTATGTTCTTATATTTAATTTTGATACCCTTATAAATTTTTTTTGAACGGTTAGTAATTCTATGATATGAACATTCATATTTTAAAATTCACATTGGTAGGAATGTAAAATTGGCCTGTGGGCGGCCCGAAACCCGCCCGCTAGCCGAGGCGGGCTCGGCCCGTTGACAATGTGAATATTCACATTGACATGTTAACATTCACATTAATAGGAGTGTAAAATTAGTCTGCGTCCCGTGGCGGTGCGAAACCCGCCGGCGGCCCATGGGCGGTCCAGGGCGGGCCCGGTTCGCCCCGTTGACAATGTGAATATTCACATTGACATGTTAACATTCACATTGATAAGAGTATAAAATTGGCCCGCGGCCTATGGGCGACCAAAAGCCCCCCCCAGCGGCCCAAGACGGGCCCGGCCCGGCCCGTTAACAATGTGAATATTCACATTGACATGTTAACATTCACATTGATAGGAGTGTAAAATTAGTCCGCGCCCCGTGGCTGCCCGAAACCGGTCCACAGCCCGTGGGTGGCCCGGGGTGGGCCCGACCCAGCCTGTTAACAATGTGAATATTCATATTGACATGTTAACATTCACATTGATAAGAATATAAAATTGGCCAGCAGCCCAAGGCGGGCCTAACCCGGCCCATTGACAATGTGAATATTCACATTGACATGTTAACATTCACATTGATAAGAGTGTAAAATTGGCTCGCAGCCCGTGGGCGGCCCGAAGCCCGACCGCAGCCCGACCCGTGATATTGTGAATATTCACATTAACATGTTAACATTAACATTGATAGGAGTGTAAAATTTGTCGCTGTCCGAAACTTGCCCGCGGCCTGGGGTAAGCCCGGCTCGGCCCGTTGACAGTGTAAATATTCACATTGACATGTTAACATGCACATTGATAGGAATGTAGAATTGGCCCGCGGCCTGTGGGCTGCTCGAAGCCTGCCCACGGCACGGGGCAAGCTCGTTTGGGTCCGGGCCCGAGTCAGTGGGTCGAGCCTCGGGTCGGGCCGATGGGCCTGGGCCTAGCCTCAGGCTTGGGTCGGGCTTGGGTAGGCCTGGCCATTTTCTTTTAATTCTTTTTAATTTTTTCTACCAAAATTTTATTATTTTCCACAAAAAAAGACACCAGGCCTCGGCGCGGGTCGAGCCTCGGACCGAGCCTTGAATGGGCCTTAACTGGGCCGATGGGCCGGGCCGGGCCGGGCTTCAAAGTGATGGCCTAGGCCCTAGCCTAGGGTTTCAGACTAGGCTCGAGCCCAGGCCCAAACGAGCCTTTCCCGAGCTACAGGAGAGCTTCGGGCAGCCTGCGTTCTTTTTGACTATTCCATTAAGTCCTATTTGAGGTAAGAAGACCAAAATACCATTTTTATCTACTTATATTCTATTTAGTCTACATTATTTTCTTATGTTTCAATAAGTCCTATGGGAGACATAATTACCAAAATACCCATAATATGAATGTTCACATCGTCAATGTGAATGTTCATATCATCAATGCGTAGAGGCTTGGGCAGGCCCATATCGAGCCTCGTGGGTGTCCGAAAAAATTCGGGTCGGCCCGGCCCACGGGCCAAAAAATTAGGCCCAGGCCCTAGCCCTGACACAAGGGTATTCGGGCTTTGGACGGGTCGAGCCTCGGGTCGGGCCAGTGGGGCCTGGGCCTTGCCTCGAGCTTAGGTCGGGCTTGGGCGGGCCTGGCCATTTTTTTTTTAATTCTTTTTACCAAAATTTTATTATTTTTCACGAAAAAAGACATTGCGCCTCGGGCGGGCTGGGCCTCGGACCGAGCCTTGAATGGGCCTTACGCGGGCTGATGGGCCGAGCCAGGCTTCAAAATAATGGCCTAGGCCCTAGCCTAAGGTCTCGAACATGCTCGGGTCCGGACCCAAACGAGCTTGCCCCGGGCCGTGGGCGGCTTCGGGCAGCCCACGGGCCGCGGGCCAATTATACATTCCTATCAATGTGCATAATAACATGTCAATGTGAATATTCACATTGTCAATGGGCCGGGCCGGACCTACCCCGGGCAGCGGGCAAATTTTACACTCCTATCAGTGTTAATATTAACATGTCAATGTGAATATTCACATTGTCACGGGTCGGGCTAAGCCTGCCTCGGGCTGCGGTCGGGCTTCGGGCCGCCCACGGGCTGCGGGCCAATTTTACACTCTTATCAATGTGAATGTTAACTTGTCAATGTGAATATTCACATTGTCAACAGGCCGGGCCGGGCCCGCCCACGGGCGGTGGTCGGGTTTCGGGCAGCCACGAGGCGCAGGCTAATTTTACACTCCTATCAATGTGAATATTAACATGTCAATGTGAATATTCACATTGTCAACGGGCAGGGCTGGGCCCGTCCCGGGCCATGGGCGGGCTTTTGGCCGCCCATGGACCGCGGACCAATTTTGTACTCTTATTAATGTGAATGTTAACATGTTAATGTAAATATTCACATTGACAACGGGCCGGACCGGGCCCGCCCCGGGCCGCCTATGGGCCGCGGACGGGTTTCGCGTCGCCACGGGACGCGGGCCAATTTTACACTCTTATTAATGTGAATGTTAACATGTCAATGTGAATATTCACATTGCCAACGGGCCGGGCCCGCCCCGTGTTACCTTACCCTATATTAAGAATTTTAATGAATCTCAAATTCCTACTAAATCTCGACCTATTCAAATGAACTACGAATTACTTGAAATGTGTACCCACGAGGATCGACATGGGCCGGGCCCCTACACATTGACGATATGAACATTCACATTGACGGTGTGAACATTCACATTAGGGGTATTTTGGTA